TTTTAAATAATTATACGTAAACTAACGTAATAAAAAAACCGTATTACTGATAGGTTACCCTAAAACTAACCTAAATGATGGAAATGCGACGAAATAAAGTTATATAAAGAATACAATAGGTACGGATACCATACTAATTATTGTAAATGGAAAACTTAAGACAGATGTATGAATGTTTGTTAGAGTTTGTAGCCTTAATGTCTGAATGGATTTCGATGAAATTTGGTTTTGAAGAAGAGGATAGTCCGAGGGAATACACAGGCTACTTTTGTTTTTTTCTTTCATTATTTACCCACAAAGCTAGTAAAGAAATATATGTGAATAAGAACTTACATTTATAAACATAAACAGAGAGTTCAGGTGGCCCGCATTAAAATGAAATCCTTGGCTTAAAAGTATAACCGGCAATTCACTTGGATGGCTTATACGTATTTTTGAGATTAACTTTGGCTATTATAATGCTTAGTAAACAAAGATAACCTAACAAATGCTATGATAATATTTGTACAATTAATCTTATTAATATTATAATTGCGAAAGTTTAGATGGATGGATGGATGTTTGTTAGAGTTTGCAGCCTTAACGGCTAAATGGATTTCGATGAAATTTTGCATAGATGTAGAAGATAGTTGGAAGGAACACATAAGCTACTTACTTATGTTTTTTAACACCATGGAGACGGACGAAATCTAGTTAACAATAGTTATTTTACTATCTTACTAATATTATAAATGTAAACGTTTTGATGGAAGTTTGTTAGTAGCCTAAAGTGCTCAACGGAATTAGATGAAATTTTACATAGAAATAGAAGATAGTCGAGAAGAACACAAAAGCTATTATTATACATATACTTTTTTTAATACCACGGGGAAGAAATCGCGGGTAAAAGCTAGTAATTTATAATTAATAAATATCCTAAAGTTATAGCATGAAAATTGATTAAGATAAATCAAATGAGATTATCACCTCGAGTCGTTTATTACAATGTCAATTAATTTTCTTTTTGTCTTCACAGTTATCTGCGAGTCATTTCGACGAAGTGAGATCGTTTGGTCATTAATACAGACTAACGGATGACCTGTCACCGACAACGAGACCCGATTAGTATATTTAAAAAGAAACTGTAACAATACTTCCACCGATACGCTACCAAGTGTAACCAAATTCGAGTTTTTGGTTACGCTAATTGAATTGTCTTTTTTAGAAAACTTCCGAGGATCTGTTACATTCTTTGTTCGCAAGAAAATAAAGTCATATTTTATAACAAATGACTTTATCACGAAATAGAAAGATTAACATGTAATCATCAAAATGTCTAATAATACATTTTTTAATGCTAAAACCAAATTGTAAAGTATTGTCTTTTATACAAAAACCCTTGTTGAATGCGGAACCGAGTTGAATAGTTTTTCATTTCAATGGAACAGAAAATGGTGCTGCTCTCATTAGATATAGCAGTATACGGAATGTCATTACCCGAGAAGAGATACACGAGGTATTCGAAATGGAGTCTTTGATATAATCACAAAGCGCCTGCATGTTTATAAGCGGCAATATTTTAAAAAGACATCGTTGCAGCTAAGCTTCCACAGTAAAATACATTTTTATTTTTTTATTTTCAAATGAATAGCAATTTTAACTATTTATATATATTACCTATTCTGAGAGCTGCAATAGAGGTAGTAGATATTTAGATTTTTCAAGATAATGATAGATTCATTCAGAATTAAAAGAACTTGTAGATCCTCTTGAGCATAGGTTAGTAGCAAGAAATATATTGCTAGCATAAAGTAAAAAAAATAATAAAAGTTAGGAAGTTAATATTATTTTAAACAATCGATCATTGATGATTGATGATTTCAGAATCGTAAATTTAAATAGGATAGAAAAATTGATACTAATTCCATTTTAGGGCGCAGTAATACTAAAGCTTGTTAAAGGAGGCGATGAATTTAATGAAAACCTCACAAGTTACATGTCTGGAATATTACGAAACGTAGTAAATTACTCAAAGAGATTTTCATTGTTAAATTTATAATGTTATCAGTCGCTCAGTATGCTTATAAGTGGTTTATTATTAATTCAATAAAGGTTTTGAGTCTTTGTGCGGTTTACGTAAACGGAATACGTGATGGAGATTTACATGTAAGATGTTTATTTACATTTAGCAAATAGTTTCAATAAATAGATACCAAAAAGATGAATCGCATGTAATAAGAAGGAAAGTAAGTGTAAGTTTAACAATGGTAGAGCCCGCTTTAACATCTTCGCACTCGTAATACCACGACCACACAGAAGACAGGCGTGAAGTGGTAACAATTCTACGTTTCATCTGATGAGTGTGGTGCCATAGGCCCAATGTTAGTCCATTTCCCGCCCCACCCAAGGTAAGGATTAGACTGGAAAGTGGATTTGACGGTGGAGGAGAGGCATAGAAAGGGGAAATTTCCTCTTTATGTGCATCTCCTCCTCCGTTGATTTAGACATCCTACGGGTAGCGGTTGCTTCGCCATTTTGGCGGATTTAGGTGACCGCTTGCCCGTTTGTCACCTTGTTGTATATAAAAGTCTGTGCGTGGAAGGGTATATCGGTAGAGATAGACCTAGAAAGTGATGTATGGATTGCGTGAAAGGTGACATTAGGGAGTGGTGACTGAGATGACCTATGACAGTTATGTGAAGGACAAAAACCTGTTGCGCCCCTACGGGAGTAGGATAAGGAGAAAGAAAATGTAATAATACCAAAAATCACTAAATTATTATCGTAGGGGTTTTCCAAAAGACCAATCGGATAACAAAAACAGTATAAGAGAAAGTTGTCTTTACATTAAATAACGGTGTATTTGTAAAAGGACGTAATATCCCGTACGATTATTAGCTGTAAAATTATCCTGATTAAAATTATAAGGATAAAATGACATGAAATTGTAAAAATATAGATGTTTCCTTCGTAATAGATTAGAACGACATAGTATTTGCATTGCTAGAATAGCCGTATACAATTATATTGTTGTCTCTCTCTTAGCAATGAGGAATGAAAGTAATGACTATATTCTTGTACAATTATTGCGACAGATGAATCTGTTGAAATGTAAGTTATAGAAAATATTAGAAATTGATGAAATTAAATAGGAGATTAAAGCGCCCCAAAAATGAGTTTTTTAATTACATTTTTAAACTAAACTTATGTTTTCTTTGCAGTGGATGGTGCTGTGCCGGCCTCTTCTTTTCCAGTAACGTGGTAGGTCTGTTTATTACTTTCACACCAACTTACAAAAACGTTATAACCTTAGTTTGTAAACAAAATGTACAAAATAAATATTTAAACGCAATTACACAGAAATCAGAGATATCTCAGGTGAATAATGCAATCGTGTTTTTTCCTCTGATGAATCATTGCATCGGTAACACATTGGTATTGGCACCCGTATGTAAGAATTTCCATACATTAGCAAAATGGAACCATACAATTGATAGATTACGTATGCAATTGGACGATCAAAGGAGGTTTTAATTGCATAGAATGTTTTAATTCTTTTAAAAGATAATTACAAACAAAATTACATTTTATTACCTTTAAGATTAAGTCTAAAATCAAAATAACAAATGTATGTAGACAAATTAATTATCCAAGATTTTAAACCGGTGTTCGCATCACCGTTTTCCTTATTCACTTTTAGAGTTCCGTTTGAAATGTTTTATAAAAAATTATTCATTACCTTTATACTAATATGAGAGTTTTTTTTTTTGACTGAGTTGCTACTGTTTGCCATTTACAGATTCACCGGGCTTGAGGTGGCCGAGCGCAGATGGCGCTTAGCCTAATACTCGTTTATGAAAAGTGTGAAAGTTTTAATATTTGGGTGGATGGATGTTTATTTTGATGTATTCCTAGAACGACTGCATGAAGCATGGTAACTAAATGTACCTATGTGTAGAACACTGTCTAGAAGAGCGAATACCTTACTTAGGACTTTTTTTATTTCCACGCAGATCGAGTCGCGGGTGAAAGCTAGTATACAGTCACTTGTTATTTACTAAATGATAAATAAGGAAAACGTCTAATAAAAGTATTATCTTAATGGAATGGTCAGGATTAAATATCATTTAAGTGGGGGATTTCAAAAGAGATTTTAAAATTATCGCGACAGGGTTTGGGTCCGAAGATCTTACAACCAAATCCAATAATCAATCGTGATCGATTTAACTTCTGCAAATTAATTTTTTTTTACTTAGTATTTATTTTAAGACTAGAGTAATAAAGTTGAAAATGTAACAATTAGAGATTATCAGATTACTAGCTGTTCCCATGCGACTTCATCCGCATAAAATTATAAAATTTCATCTTCTTGTTCGCATTTGTCAAATTATCAATTGCAAATGTCAAAATGACATGACATGATCTCAAACCATGGCAACCTTGCTTCCTTGATGTTGGCAACAACTTATGGTCTCTTTCCCACATTAGGGTTTTTATCCAAAATATTTACCCCTAAGTATAACGACGTGAAAATATATAGTCTAAAGCGTGATGTAAGTGTAGGGATTTTTATTAAAAAAAAATCGAAGATATGCTGTGATTGCTGACATCTTAGGCAACAAAGAAGTGTGTGTTTACGCTTTATTATAATAGTATAGATAGATAAGCATAGATGAAGCAGACTAACGTTACGCAAAATAAATTATAAGAAAACATTAAAATTGCATTTCATTTTTTGCATTATCAGAGTGTGTGTAAAAAACATCAAGAACCCTTCAGTTACGTACACTATTTATATTGTTTATTTTACTATTTATTTTAGAAGCTAATCTTACAAATTCCTACTCTACTTGAAGGTTACAATTTAAATTTATAAAAGATCTTTCGATATTTTTAAACACATTTTAGTTAATTAGTGTTGGTTAATAAATTTATGATCAAGATTTAAAAAATCTTCTTTTAAGAGTAAAAGGTTTGAACATAGTTAATTATAACGGGAACCCGCATTGGACAATTACTGGTTCTCAGGTTTTTATTTATGTTTTTGCAAAATGCCGGACAAACCAGTCGACGTTGGACCGTTCGAAGAGATAGACGTTTGTTCTGCTGATTTTATTCAATAATTACTGTAAGTAACAGCCTTATTATGTTTATTTTTTAATTTATTTTAATATTTAAAAAGGTAAACAATTAGTTTAGTAGTACTCTGTATTCAAATTAACTAAAGGATTATTGTGTTTCTTCTATATTGTCATTTATAAGCAGATTTTCTACATATGAGCAATTTTATATATAGACTAATATGATAAAGAAATATGATTTGTATTTTTGTATAAATTGAAATAACTCAAAAACTACAACAGTAACATAGGCAATTTTTTTTTGTTTTTATTTTTATTTTCACGCCGGCGAAACCGCGAGCAACAGCCATCTTATAAAAAGCTAAGAAAGATAATCAGATCCTATGTTATTTAGAAACAATTATTTTGCTATCGGTTTTAAAAAAATACTTAGAAACACGTAATTTAACGTAAAAATAATTTAGGTTATTGAACATCACGCCATTATCTTTAGGAGCAAACACAACTCTGCTAAACTGTGGAGCTAGATTATTGTTAAATGCTAACAAAATTACAAAAGCATTGGAATATTTCCTAATACTAACGTAACCTTTAAGACATTTAATGAAGAAATATTTGAATATTAAATAACAGTAAAATAGGCTTCTATGACTTGTGGAATTTTCAATTTTCAACGCTCAAATTAGAAGCCTTGTCACCTTTTCAAATAGGAATATTTTTCTCCTGAGCTAATTGTAACTCATCTCCATAATCATTGGATTATTATAATAAACAAAATGTTCTAAAAGGTTTATTTGTTACTTCCTTCTGCTCGAGGAATAAATTATTTTATTAATAAAATAAAATAAAAGCACCTTATTAAATAGTCTATATTATTCAGTAATAATATAGCTTTCTAATGGTGAAAGAATGTTTTAAAACGGTTCAGTAGTTTCGGAGCTTACTGTAAACAAAATAAATAAATATAAAACCAAGAAAATTAGTCATATAACAATAATTAAATATTAAAAAGGGAGTGGAATCAGATATGACGGTTGATAGAAATGTATGGAAGAGAAGCACATACTGTGCCGACCCTCCATAAGGGTTAAGGGCAAGTTGATGATGATGAACAATCTTACTAATATTATTAATGCGAAAGTTTAGATGGATGGATGGATGGAGGGATGGATGGATGTTTGTTAGGGTTTGTGGTCTAAACGGCTGAGCGGATGTCGATGAAATTTGGTATAGATGTAGAGGATAGACTGAAAGATACCATAGTGTACTGACTTTTGTTTTTTAAATCCACGCAAAGGGAGTCGCGGGCGAAAGCTAGTAAATAAATATAACAGTATATATTTTCTCATACAGATGGCTTACATACAAATTCTGTTGATCGCTGCGTCTGTCAGCCTGGTGTGGGGTCAACGACCTTTCTTCGCTGGTTCCCGGCCCATTGGATACCCTGAGGTAGAGAGGCCATCGACGCCTGCAGACCAACTTGGAAATCGGTAAAAATTGTAAACATGTACTAAAGGATTTTGATACTTAAATGCAATTTCCACTGAGTCACTAATTGGTAATTGAATTAATATATATCCAATCGACTTTTATACACAACTAGCTGTTCCCGTGCGGCTTCATCCGCATGAAGTTATGAAAATTTTATTTTATTGTTTACATTTGTCAAATTCTCAATTGCAAATGTCAAAATGACATGACATGACAAACCTTAACAGTCTTGCTTCCTTAATGTTGGCAGTTGGTCTCTTTCCCACATTAGGGTTTTTATCCAAAATCATTACCCCCTAAGTTTAATGGCTTGAAAATGAATAGCCTAAAGCGTGATGTAAATGTAGGGCTTTTTATTAAAAAAAGAATTATTCATATATACGCTGTAATTTCTGACATCTTAGGCAACAAAGTGTGTGTTTACGCTTTATTATAATAGTATAGATACATAGATGAAACTTGCACGCTGTCAGAGTCGCGCGACTAATCGTTAAGTGGAAATAAGGATTAACTATCATATAAAACAAAATCATAAACGATATATCTAAAATTTCTTACGTCATCGGTAAATACCAAAAGCATTCTGTCCCGGAAAAATTTGTCTTAAAAAACTTTATTTGCTTCTCAAGCAGGTTTGTTAAACTATTCACATTTACCTGTTGTTTTGATATTAAAAAACTTAGTCATATTTGCAGCTTTAATGGAAGGGAAAACGTGGTTTTAGGTACACAAAGGATTAATGCATAAGTCACATAATTATCTTGAACTTCATTAACAATGCAATAAATTAGGCAACGCATCTGCGTTTTGGACGACTATAGACGAGGCGTTTTCTTTACTATTTTGGGGAAATCCGGTGACGTCTTTTTCGTGTTTTACCTTACATATGAAATATGATCTTAAATCTATCTATCTATACTTCTATACTAATATAATAAAGCGTAAACTCACACTTATAGGCGTAGGATGTCAGCAATCACAGCATATTTTTGAATAATTCCTTCTTTAATAGAAAAACCTTACACTTACACCACGCTTTAGGCTATATATTATCGCACCATAAAACTTAGGGGGTAAATAAGTTGGAAAAAACCTTAATGTGGGACCGTAAACTACAAGCTGCCAGTATTAAGAAAGCAAGGTGATTATGGTATCGGTAATGTTGACATTAGCAAATGAGAATTTGACAAATGTAAACAATAAAATAAAGTTTTTATAATTTCATGCGAATGAAGCCGCACGGAAACCGCTAGTTCTTTATAAAATAATTCCTTTTCTACATTCATCTAGTAAATCATCTAAGTATCTGATTTATTTTTTTTTATATTTATTATTAGAAATGTAACGTTACTCATTTGTTTTTTTTAGGTTCGGCGAAGGAACCACACAAAGGTTACCAATAGAAGCTAACGGTGATAGAGATTTAGTTGACAGATTAAGCAAACTACCCATAGACAAGCAGCCGTTCTGGTTTATCAACTGGCAGGCGATAGAAGCCCATAGACAACAACCGCAGTCTTATCCAATCAGACCTAATCCATTCGCTGAAAATCCACTTGTTCCCAATAACTCAGGTAGCTTCAACACTGCAAATAATCTAGGCAACAGAAGTGGTGACTCTAATAATGCACCAGTGACTACCACTTCGACTGTGGCTCCAACGACGGTGAAAGCCATTCCGCCTAGTACTATCGCTAGTACTCTCTTAAAAAGTGAACCAACAGCAAGTACTTCAACTAAGGACGTAACAGAAAAGAAGCCTGTGAATTAAATAATTTTCAATTACATATGAAGTAGTTAAGTCTAATTTAACTGAACTTGTAATCAAATTTTAAAATAAATCATTTTGTTTAATTACAAAGCCTTTCTTTTAATCTATAAATGGTACAAATACAGAAAAGAGTTTATTAAGAGCCTGTCCCACCGAATTTACAATTGTCTGATAACAATCCAACGTGTAAAATATGTGATGGAAATATCGGATTTTGTTCCGTTATCCGACAGTGGCGAGATTTTTAAGCTATCTGAGCCTCTATCAGCCAGTGTTGGGACGGGCCATAAATGTAAGCATTTTAGACATCTAAATGCGCCTGCCAAATATAAATAGCCACGACTACTGAATACTGCAAAATATTTTACAAATGCAATCCGTATTGTAGTTTGTAGCAATGCAATCTTTTTAATACATCCATTGAGTCCCTTTATTATTGTTTTACTTTATTGTTTCTGTTTTATATTCAAATATTGGTAAAAAGTGAGAGATTGACGATTTTCGATTTCCTGATTATCTGGAAGAAAGGGGACGCGGGAAAAGAGTAATCCTCAGTCCTATACGCTTTTTATGAGCAAACGCTATAAAAGCGATCTCTTTGAATCTACTGGAATCACAGAATGATATAAAAATAAAATAAAAACGAAGTAAGTATTTCGGTACGACAGAAGAAAATTGTAGAAACATAACATATACTAACCCTTTCCGTCCCACTCAGAAACTTTAAATAAGTAGTGAATAAGCTTGCCACTTAAACAATCTCTTAGTGTAGATTTCTACAAATATAATTCACATTAAGTTACTGCTTTAAACCATTGAAAAAATCAACTAAAGGAGTTTGTCTGCTGTTTGGTTTAATATAGTTAGTTGTCAACTGTTAACATGCTTAACGCATGAAACCTCATGCCCACGTAGTTAAATTACCTAGACAATATGCCATAAAAATACTAATATTATTTATCTTATTCTTCTTGAAGTAATTAAAACTAATATTAATCTTATTTGTTTAAATTGTTATTATTATATTAATAATGGTAACGAATTAAGGAATACGTGCGTGAAGTCGCTGAAACTTATTTATATATTTGAAAAATGCTAGATATATCAGTTACATTTAAGCCGTAGGAAGAAAAAAGTGCTTGGTATAGACAGTTATTTTGGTCCTATATTCGTAAGTAAAGGTTAAAATTACTTTTTGTTTCGATATCATTTTTACTTAGTTTAGTTTTAAGAATTGAAGAATTAAGACTTTTAAAAATTGAAGCACATCTAACGAAAACAGTTACATTTCTGGAATCCCATAAGAATTGTAATTCCTAATCGAATGGCTGAAGTAAACTCTTTCGATTTTTTTTGGTTTTATATTTTCATATATCGCAAGTTCATTTTACTACAAATATTTAATGTTATACAGATGATGGATTCTTTACCAGTGCTGTTGTTGATTGCGTCGTTCTCCTTCGTGGTATGTCAACGACCCCCTTACGCTGGCAAGCATCCGATTGGATATCCAGAAGTGGAGACGCCCTCCGATCCGGAGGCAGAGTAAGAGTTAACTTATATTAGAATTAAAGTTAATTCAAGCTATACGATGCTCAAACGAAAATTTAATACACTTTTTCATTTAATTTACTATTAGGTATAACTAATGTTTCAGTTAAATTTGAATACAATTCTTAGCTTATTTTTAAATAACAGTACCTAACCAAGTGCTAGCCAAGTGCCCGCTTTAACATCTTAGCACGAATGGGCCGGCACGCCCGGTGTTATACCACGACCACACAGAAGACAGGCGTGAAGTGGAAGCAATTCCGTGTTTCGTCTGATGAGTGTGGTGCCGGAGGCCTAATTTAAGTCCCTTTCTCTTTACCGCCCTTTTCTTATAAGGAGAGGATGGGAAGGGAAAGTGGATTTGACAGAGGAGATACATAGGTAGGGGAAATATCCTCTTTATGTGCATCTCCTTCTCTGTCGGATAAGGGTAGGCAACGCATTTGCAATTGCGGATGTTTATGGGTAGCGGTCGCTTCGCTATTTTGGCGGATTCAGGTGGCCGCTTGCTCATTTGCCACCTTTTATTATAAAAAAAACCATATACATTTATAACAATAACTAGCTTTCGCCCTAGAATCCGTCCGCGTGGAATTAATAAAAGTAGCCTATGTGTTCTTCCAGGCTATCCTCTACTTCTATACCAAATATCATCGACATCTGTTCAGCCGTATAAGCTACAAACTTTAACAAACATCTATCCATCCATCTAAACTTTTGAATTCACAATATAAGGAAGATTTATTTATTATACTAAAAGCAAAGTGGTACTACAACTACTGGTCTAGTCTGATTCTTATATAATCTGTGCAATTTTTAATATCACATCTGTAATCGTACATAATTCTTTTTTCAGATCAATCGATTTACCGTTTGATAGTTTGCCTCTCGAAGCACGTGGGGACAGAGAGCTAGTGGCAAGATTAATCAAGTTGCCGGTAGACAAACAACCGTTCTGGCTTCTCAACTGGGAAGCGCTGGAATGGAACAGACAGAATCCACAGACGTACCCCATACGAGAGAATCCATTCCTCCAAAATCCAATACCTAACGATTATTAAAGAACTCTGAATAAATTTTCCTTCTTCCCCAAATAAATATTCCGCAGTTTTTTGCAATGGCTTTTTAGTGACACAACTGTCCAAAACTGATTTATTTTACTTGTCACTTTCGTTGAAAAACTAGAGATAATAATAAATGTGATTTCAGCCATAAAAGTCTACTATTATTTTTGGGTATTTTTTACAAGGCAGAGAGATATCAAAATTTATTTATTAGAATAAAACACGATTGTATGTTTACTATTTACATATTTAATGTAATTATACAAAACAATAGCATACTTGAAGTAATAAAAACACATCATATTGACTTTTTTAAATAAATAAACCCTTAACATAAGCGTATACTTAAAATTAACAAGTCACAGGATATAAATACAAATAGAGGGCAATCAGAACAATTGACATACTCCACACTCAGTCCTTAGTGGAGTTTTAGTAAGAGAAGTTTTCACTTAGCGACTGCTTAAAGATCAATGAATCGTTTCTTAATTTAAATCTAATGTACATGAATCTGTACTGAATTATTTGAAATGTACTTAATGAAATTAAAAATTAACATTTCTTTGTACACAGAAATATGCCTTTAGTATAACGGTCAAAAAAAATCTAGAAAAAAAGCTCTAGGAATTTACATAAAGGTAGTAAACAAGGTATTTCAAATCAAGTAGAAAGAATAAAATGTTTTAAAAAAATAATAATTTGACTTTCAAAATTACTTTCAACCAAAACTTCAAATAAACAAAAGAACTAAAGAGAACCACTAATTATTTTTAAATGTTCACATGTATACGCATACATTTTCATTAAGACCGAAAGTTTCATAAACATGACCTAAGATGAACTCTAACTGCCAGTTAGTACAGATTTCATATTATATCTGACTTGTCTGATTATCTCATAGATAATTGTACCATACTTCGTAATTTACAAGTGAATTAATTTTCTAGCTGTGTGTAATCATTTTGGCACAAATCTGTTTTGAAAAACCGTGGAATATAACCTAAACATGGATATCAAACCTGGGCGTTATTGGCATTATTACGAACGTTATTTGTAGATAATTCTAACATGTTAAGAAATTGGTTGGATATATTTCTGTCCAGACTATAACTATGTGTTTCCATTCTCCATACATTTATATAAAAAGGTATCATCCCTTTAATTGTAAGATGAAATAACAAACGTTACTTACGTTAATAAAAAAGATATACAAAGTTATTGCTTATAATATTAACCATTCATTGATACTGCATTACACATCCAAAGTACTAAGGGCCTGTCCCACCACTGGCTGATAGAGGCTCAGATAGCTTAAAAATGACTGTCAGATAAGGGCACAAAATCCGATATCTTCATCACATATGTTACACGTTAGATTGTTATCAGACAATTTACGATTTGGTGGAACAGGCCCTTGTTCTATTTTATTTCCAAGTAAAAATATTAGGCACCATACACACTAAAAATACCTTTTAAATATGTTTTATTAAACAATAGCATAGATTCATCCGTGACGTTATAAAAAAAATAACTGTACTTCATCAATACCATTTGAGGCACTTTTAGTGTAATTGGGTCTTAATATAAAAACCTACATTATAAATGCTACAAAAATATTTACGTAGATTTCGTAGTCGAGGAGCACACAGCCCTTTAATACTTATCTATTTGTAGTCTAGTTTATATTAAAAATGGCTCAATATTAAAACTCCTCCAAAATATAAAAATTCAAATTAAATCATAAATCACATGTAATGCAAAGAATAAGGACAAAAAACTTTATAAACAAATTAATAATGTCTTCGGAAATGGAATCAACATAAAAACACTGGAATATAGGAATCAGTCGTATCATAATTATAATATAGGAAAATAGGATATTCCATAAAGCGTTCTACATTTGGTATTATAAATGAATCCAATATTAGTACAAATACTTATGTAGTTAAAACGCATGAGCAAAACCCATAAGTACAAAAATCACAAAAACACATTTCCTTCACGACTAACGCCATCTAGTAACACTATTAAAAAAAATATATTTTAAAGTCGACTTACAATATTACAACAGTTTTGCATTGATAAAAAGGACCATTTATAAATGTTCATAAAATCGATAGTAAGAAATCGATTATTGTTATTGTTTTCAGATGTGATAAAAAACTCAAAGGAAAACTAATAAACCCAAAATTACTGAGACAAACCTCTTTTTCTTAACCAATATTAGGCAAAGGTTCTTACAAAAAGTATAAAAGAGGAATCGATGTTTTTATATCGATAAGGCAAAGGCTCTTAAACCATTATGCCAAATAATTACCTGATTTTTTTTAAGTATTAAAACTAAAGATAAAATCATCAAAAATCTTTTTTAAAATGCACTGCAAAGTGTAAATGGTACAAAAATAAATTACTTCACGAACTCGGATGTACTTTGTTTTTAAAAAAAAACAATAAATGCTTTAAATGTGATCATACTGAGCTAAGGATTGCTTATTATTGAATAATAAACTATACAAATGCTATGAATACAACTTTTGTTACAAATTTGGCCATATAATACTAATTTAAAATAGCTATACTGTATATTTTATGTAAAATCGATCAAAATTTTCGTTACAAAAAAAACTCTCACTCTCCCATACCATTGACTTAGAATAAAGTAAAAAAAAAGAAAAAATATTCCAGTACAATTTAAAACATAACCTATCATATTTCATACAAACAAAAAATCGGTTTTTGTAACGAAAATTCCAAACGAATAACAAAAATGCCCTGACTTTTAAATATGAAGATCTTGATAATAAAAACAACTTAAAACGAAAACAAAAATAGTGGCTCATTTAATATTACCGCGCAATCAGCCATTTTAATGACGTCATCAAGATGGCGGATAAACTAATTGACAGTTTGTTCGCTGCATTCGTTTTGGTAACGGAGGGTAACAGCACGCTTTTATAGTTGCAGGACTTTTCCGATGTATCGTTGTTCGTTAGTTCGGTGAAATTCGGATATGTTTGTATCTGAACCGGCTGTGGAAAAAGAAACATGTTAATTTTCTGTTATGTCTTTTCGACAAGAACATTAAAAAAAGATAAGGTTTTAAATAAATAACTTTCACAGTGATTAACGTATCAAAAATATTCATATTTTTAAGGTTTAGATTCCTTCTAGCTCCTCTTAAGTGTTAGAGCAATATGGTCATGTCCCTTCACAAGTCGAGATTGCCATCTCGACCACCATTCATTTTCATACCAAAGTAGTTTTTACGTTGTTTTTTTATTGTATTTTCTTATGTTTTCTTTTTTATATTTTATACATTATAAAGCGGTAAACTAGTGAGCGACCAAATTTATACAACAAAAGGGAGAAACGACCGGTGGCTATAGACATCCGCTATTGCACATGCGTTACCTTGTTGGAGGACAAAGAGGATATTTCCCGATCCCATCATCCTTATAAAAAAAGGGAAGGGAGAGGGACATATATTTAGTTAATCAGCTTTATATTTACTCACCGCTCCCCAGGAGTCATCGTTCTTTTTACAGAAGGTCATATGCAGGCCGCTGTACAGCGTCTTCTCTATCTGTTCCGTGAGCAGCGGCTCCGACCACGGCATCTCGTTTAAATGCGCCATGAACGACTTGTTGCCGAACTCCAATGGTTCTTTTATCACTAACTCTTCTACAAAGAAAACAATAACGTAAGAATGAGGTAAGCAGAATAAACAAGGTTTTAAGATATCTATTCTTAACGAATAGGGATTCATGTTCAATACGAAATTTAGAAGAAATTATTTAAAAAACTTTTCAACTGCTGGGAATTATTTGTAACACTTACGGTCGAATACTGGAACGATATTGTAAATGATAATTTTAAGCTTATATACGTTACTTACATTTTTCCCGACTTAGTTACTACGTTATGTTTATTTTTCTCTTTAATGTTTCTGATTGTATTGTATTGCTAAGGATTAAATGTTACTTTATTTATTTATATATACCAAAGACTAACAGATTTAAAAATATATAGACAAGACATACTGAACAAAAATTTTTCACTTGTACTTTCTTTAAATATCAGTTGACAAGTTTAGAAGAATAAAATAAAAAGTGTTACAAAATAGACATTCAAATATAATTTAATCACATATATTGGCAATTAATTTTCATACAATTAATGGTTTTGATCAGTGAAAAATGTTAAAGAGAAGTGTCAACTATGCCTCCTCTATATATATTTTTAATATCTTCATTAAATACCATGAAAACTTACAGCGTTAAAAATAAACGCGAAACAAAGGTAAACTTAGGAATAAACTGTATATAAGCGAATATTAGTTACAATAATACTCTATACCGCGTTTATTTGTAAGGCTGTTAGACTTCTGTCAATATAGCAGCGCTTATAAAGCCAATTATCTAAGATCGTTTCAGTATTCTGTCGTAAAAGATAAGGTAATTAAAACATTTGTAATTTCTAGTTAGAGGTTATACTGGGTTAGAGGTATATTTTGATGAAAAGTGGGATATTCTTTTGTTAATATCTATTTTAAATTGTTACGTACTCATAAATCCAACGCCTTGGTCATCTCCTTGCATACCGCCTTCTTCTGACTCCTTCCCTTGATCTGAAGGTAGATTCGGGTATTCTACATATCTGTAATTAAATATATTATGTCCAATCATTACATATACATAAAAACCCTTGTTAAGCAAAGTTATAAAAAAAAACAATAATTTAATTCACAACTTTACAACAAACTAGCCGTTGCCTGCGACATCGCTCGTGTATAATTAAAAAATATGTCCTATGTTACTCAGTAATAACAAAGCTATTGAATGGTGAAAGAATTTTGAAAATCGTTAAAGTAGTTTTTGAGTTATTTCAATACATAAAAAAAAGAAAAAATACAAATCTTTCCTCTTTATAATATTGGTATAGAAATAGCATTACCGAGAATTAAATCTTTTTTACAATATCAGATCAAATTTATAACTTCTGAATTAATTTGACTTCCAGTATGTGTGGACCACTACTAGGTCTCCTATCATACTCTAGTGGTCCTAGACCACTTTGGAAAGCACTAGTATAGATAAAAAAATAATCTTACGATGATGACAGGAATGTGTTCTCGACTTGCGTCATGTCGACACCGTAGAACTCCCTGACACCGAACGTCTCAAAGAACTCCTTAGCGGGTGTCATTGAGTAGCAGCCGGCGAGTGGTGTGCGAGGGTAGTATAGCACGAACGATAAGCACATCTCCTGCAATTATAACAACAATTAAATAACTATTATTTATATAACACTAACTGTTGATTGCGACTTTAAAAAATAGAAAAATAAAGCATATGTTACTCAGTGATAACATAGCTTTTTAATGGTGAAAGAATTTTTAAAATCGGCGGCAGATTTTGAGTTATTTCAATGCATACAATAATACAAATCTTTCCTCTTTATGATGTTAGTAAAGATTTTCTTTCGTCTGAGTCTCTGTTCGTGCGGAATTAAAAAAAGTAAACAACTTATGTGTTTTTCCAAAGTTCCAGAACATCTTTTACATCTATGCTAAATTTCAAGATACGTTCTACAGTTAGGCAGATAATCTATAACAAACATCCATACATCTAAACTTTCGAATTTATATGAGTAAGATATGAAAACAGACCTGCGTTGCAGAATATCCTCCTAATATCGGCTTGTCTCTTCCAGTACTGTCGTAAGTACACTCGGTTATCAATGTGTCTCCTTTTAAAAACTTTCTACCGCCAGGAACAATTCGTGACTGTTGGTAGCGAGCGTCATACGAATTTTCCTGAAAACATTATTTAGAAAACATTTTATATCAATAAAAAATTCAGGTGACGCCAGTGTATAAAAACATTTTATTTTTGACCAACTTCCCAAAAGAAGGAGGTACTCAATTCGTTTATATGTTTTTTTTTTACTTTTGGTGGGAGTTTATTTTTCTATGTAAGCGCCATCTATTGCGCATCAACGCTAATGTTTCTAAAGTAACTATAGTTTCTTTGTGCGCCACAAGATGGCAGTAAACGCAATTCAATGATAAATGATAACGCCATCTAGTTATTGCTATTACTTCTATTGAGATGTTGAAATATCTCTTACCTCAGAAACTCTAGGTAGCTCATTGTTGCCTCTGATATGTTTCAATGAAATTTTTTTCGCTGTGCCGTGCGCGTGCAGGAGAACGGATACTATAGTAATACCATCATCAGGAATCATCTGAAAATAGAAAAAAAAAAAGAATTTAACAAGAAAATTGTAACAGGTCTTAGATTTTATACAAGTTTCGCGAAATCCAAAGTTATTGAATTTAGTGTTTATATTAAATAAGTAATTCTTTCAAAGAAATAGGTTTCCATATCAAACTTTCACTTCCAATTTTAAACCTTCAGGGAATCATTACATAAATACTTTCTTAATTCTCACAACATAGTAACAGAAACAATTTTCTAGCCTACACTCTGAAGATTGGAGTATAAAGTGATTTGAGAGTGTTAATTGTGTGGTCGTGGTATTGCACTGGCGAATCAATCGTATATAATTTATTATTGCAAGGTATACTATTGTTTAAAGTTACTTCCATATAATAAACTAGCTGTTGCTCGCGACTTCGTCTAAGTAAAGATAAAAAACAAGCCAGTGCCATGTTCTCATTAAAAACGTAGTTTTAATGGCGAAATTGTTTTTGAAATCGGCCTAGTAGTTTTTGAGTTAAATACATACAAAAATCTAAAAATAAAAAACATTTCCTCCTTACACTAGTACTAGCTGTTGCTCTCGACTTCGTCCCCGTGAAATTAAAAACAATAAAATCACAGCCTTTGTTACTCAGTGATAACATAGCTTTAATGATGAATTTTTGAAATCGGCTGAGTAGTTTTTGAATTATTTAAATACATACAAAAATACAAATCTTTATATATTAGTATAGATTACCGTGTTAGTGCATTCAGAGCCGCATATACCGACAGTACGGTAGTGTCGCTGTTTGGGCGGTATGACGTGCAGTGCGGAGACGCCAATGCCCGCGCCGAGCAGCGCGGCGTCGTGCGCTCGCACTCGCGGCGTGTAGTGCACACGTATGCCTGAACTATCCAGTACTGAAAACAGAATTACATATTATGTTGTTTATGGAACATTGTTTTTATCGAAGAAAGTTTGTATAACTATGCACGACACGTCGCAGGAAATCACACAGAGTGGAAAAACATTCTTCGAGAGATGTTCAAAGAGTGGTCGCAACCCTCAGGAATGAGGAAACGATTCGTAGAGAGAGAAGGACCCCCGAAGGGTCTGAATCTAGTCTGTGCCGTCAACGGAGGATAAAAGCGAGAGTTGAGCCGTTTTTAATTTTCGGCTATGCCAAGAAATTTTTACACTTAAAGTACCCACCATATTAAAATTTGGCTGCAGTCAGATTCCATTAACTTAAGCTAGGTTTATTCCATTAGCGGCATCTACCAGCTTAGTCTAAAGTTTACTTGCGTGAATATTAATTTAATGCTAAATAACTTAACACGTACCTTCGTGTAGCGCTTGATTATCATAATGAACTTCAAGCATGTAGAAGCTGGCACCTCCTCGCTTGCCAATCGGAATGCCTACGTTTTCAGGAAGGAATTCTCCTGGAAACACCAAGTCAAGTATATTAACATACATGCAAATTTAATCCTTAACACAAGGATGTAAAGTTTGTTATCCCTTAAACTTTGAGTATTATATTTAATTTGCTAACGCATTTCAACTTCGCGTTAAAGTAATTTATTATTGAATTTACACATTTACAGTAGAGATAAATTAATATGAATAAATTTTCATATCTACTTGGAGATTTGAAATAATTTGAGATATTCTTAAGCAATAACAAAACAAAATAAATGTAGATAGAATTATAATTTTGATTATAAAGTTATATTAAGTAACATAACCTTACTAAAATTACATATTCAATTATTTAAAAGTATTTTGAATTGTATCAAATGGTGATTATGGAACGCATAAGGTCTTTTTCTTTACACAGAGACCAAAACTGAACTTTACAATGACTTATTTTTTTAATACTATTGAAAAAGATCTTTACCTTTAGATCCCATAGCCCAAGCTGCGACTGGAGTAGCACAGATCGCCCATTCCGAAGGTTTATTAGGCCCGTAGTACCCATCGCCTTTGGACCATTCGTTCCATGCGTAATCATCAGGGTCCTCCGCACATTCATAAAGCACCATATGATGTACTGGAGATAGACTGTTCTTCTCCAACACTGGTCTACCGTTCTTTATCGGCCTGCTATCTATGATAGGCTCGTAGCCAACCATATGATGTTTCTTAGGTAATTCAGGTGCTTTGAAAATTTTACACCAAAATAATGTTGCCATTACGTGAGGTATTTTTAACTGGAAATAGAATTAAATTTGTGAACATACAAATCTGATAAAGGATTACTAATGCGTGTTTAAAGTGTATTTTAATAATATTGTTTTTTTTATTCTGGACATAACTCATCAGAAAAATGCTCATAATTTAAAATGGTCTTTTTACGATATTTCTATAGTAAACATAAAGTTGCTGTGCAAAAATTAATTGGCAAAAAAAAAGTTAATTTACATACAAAAATAGTTTTAATTTCATATCTTTGTATCACAGTTTATTTTAATTATATCCTGCAAGTTTATTTAAGCGTAGGCAACGGATTTAATAAGCATAATTGTTAATTAAACAAAATTTATATGCAGACGGTACAATCTCTACGTGTATTGCTTTGAGGATATTATAACGTACACTAATAATTAACTGTTTTTATTAATTGAACTGAAAATATTTACAAAATAATAATGTACATTTTCATTACGATATTGTAATAAAATTCGACACTTCAACTTGCGTTTTAAGACCGTACCCACATTTGAAACAAAACTATAGCACAACTGTTTAGTCTTGGTTTGATTCCTATGAGCGTAAATGGTGGTGCGAAAACTACTCGATTTTTTGTTGTTGAATGGGATGTGAAACAATCGACAATCGCACAACTGTTGTGCGAGAGTTTAGTCACAGGTACGCCTGCTTAAAATATATTTTCTGCACACATCGCCATACCTAAATTGTTCAATATTGGAACGTCAGATCTGGTCCTAAGATAACAACGTCCTTTCAAGCAACGCTATTAAATCAGCCAAAGTTAGAAGTGACCAAGTTTCTACTTGAAAGGTGGCAGCTAAATGTGCTTTTGTTTGCGCAAGATTCGCAATACAAGTTACTTATATGATAGTTTAAACCAAGATACCGATTAACAGTATGACATTTTAATGCACACTTCTATATTCTTTTTAATAAAAATGAACAATTGTGAAATCTATTTCATTCAGAACCTACTAATCAATAACAGCCATCACCATAAGAGCGTGCGGACACATGAAACTAGACATATAGAGAACAACAGTTTAATCTGGCTTTGATTCTTATAAGATTATGCGTGCGCAAACTACTCTTTTTTTTGTGCAACAATTAAATTGGTTGCAAAACAATCGCACAACACTTGTGCGATAGTTTAGTCAAAGGTGCGCGCCCGCTCTTAGAATAGTTAGTTCAGAAGACAGATGCGCTTTTGTTTTAGGGTAAATTATTTTTCTCATATAAATTCTTACTTACATCACGTAATCTAACATCCCACTGCATCAATGATGCATCATCAGGTTTGGACAATGGTTGTAGAAGTCGTAAAGGTCTGCTTCCACTTTGCACATGTTTGGGTAACTGCCCATCTGATCCGGGCGGACCTAGCGCCCATAGGATTTGCGTAGTATCCTCCTGTAATATAATGAGGAACATATTATAAAACAAGTGAGAGTTGGCACAAATGTTTGTACAAACACTTGAATTTGTATGGACTTAGTGAAACGTGACATATTAAAGGGATTGACGACAGAAAATGCGCCAACTTTACACTGTGGGCTAAAGACTGGGAGATGACCTCACGTATGAATATTTGCCCAAATGTTTGTGACAAAATAACCAATACTAACACCAATAACAAAGTCCTGTCTATCGCATGTGTCGAGCAATCTTCGGAACTCTATAGTTGTGTGCGTGTCATTTTGATAGCCTGATATCAGCTCGTAGTTCTGCACGTCGTCAGCCACAGCCCGGTCTTCGAATTCCAGCCCGTGGCAGTCCTGTTGATAGACAAATATACGTTTTTATTTACCAATTTGTCAGCATATAGTAAACCGAATCCTACCATGAATTGTGGCTAATTTACATAGTTAATGATTATTTAAAAATATAATTTAGTACAAATCCTAACATTTTAGATCCGCGAGAAAAGTCCAAAGTTGAAATAAACTTGCTTTGTTTTTTTTTCTGTGTGAGATCATTGCAATTAAGGGGGTCCGTGACCTCATAATACGGAATTAAATTAATGTGAATTGAAATAAAAATGATAAAAAATTAAACGCTATTATATTTCACTTGAGAAATCTATTATTTCATATAATGAGCTCCTATACTTTGTTTTGCAATATTTTATATAAAAATCGCTATGATACAAGTAGGTCCTATTCCTAGTTATCCATACGTATAATTGAACTATATGTACTTTGTACCTCTTCTTTTGTAATAGCCTATCATAGACACGTCTTTCATACTGAGGTCAATACATGCTATTGCTTACTCCATAGAGCGTTCCAAGAAAGGTCCTTGTTCGAAAGTTATTTAATATATCTTTTTATATTATCAAGCTAAAACAACCTTTGTTCCATTGTAATAAAGCACATCATAGACAAATGATAGAAATAATATTGGCATTTGAACCCTTGTACGGGTGGCAGATGATAGCATTACAAAATAAAACGGCAGCTGCTTTGAAGTGCGCAGTAAAGATAATAATAATACTAGTATTATTTCCCTGGTTTTTTTCTCGCCAGCAGATGTCGTTTCCGAACGCACGTGCCGCCGTATGCTATAACACCTGGCATTTCGTAATACATGTGGTTACATTTACTGAATGCCGGGACAAAGATCGTTAAGACCTTTGTGTTTCTATATGTAGGCGGTTGATGTTAAAGTCGAAGTATTTGTTCAACATATTGGTTCCATACTTAAGGTGGCACGTTGAATTTATAGGTCCTATTACTTAGTTGGAAATTGATCAAATAATGTTGTCAACAAATGGTGGAAGAATTTACGAAAGCAAAACAAAGTAGCAATATAAAATCGTAATTCATACTGATATTACAAAGAGGAAAGATTTGAATTTTTGTATTAAAATAAATCAAAAACTACTGGGCTGATGTCAAAAATTCTTACACCATTAAATAAGGCTAAAGTTATTTGTTCTTGATATCAGTGTGGCATTTTTGGTTGAAATAGATTTAACCGTACAAACTCCCGTTATAAAACTATCATAAACCTTTTGATACCATAGTAACATATCCTAAAATCAAATGAATACAGGGTTTCATTGAACCATAGGGTCGTGAGGCACGTGAATCTATTGCGATCCACTGCACCGTGTCATTGCATTTGACAGTAGCATGCATGACGAAACCTACTCACACAAACTAACACAATAGTAATTCCCTAAATTAGCGAGTAAATTGAAAGAAAATTAAAAAAATATAGCAAACAAATAAAAAAGAGAAGCAACTCTTCTAGTTTTACCAAAAAGTATAAAAACTTTAATATCAGTTTAAAAGTTTTATTATTCATATCAAAACACTTACCTAAAATGTTCGTAAAATTCACAATTCGGATATAAATGTTATGCAATATCAATTAACAAATCGTTCAAATACACCGTACCTTGGTTTTAACATAAATAACGGATTAATTTACATTAAATTATTTATTTCTCTGTAAAGCTCCAGCATAACTTATGTATTAAATTCACGGTATGTTAATGGTGAAGCTTAAATACTGTTACATGCACAGGATTATATTACTTTACTGTAAGCTTTTGCCCAAAACTTCGTCCGCGGCGAATTAAAAAATAAACTTACTAGCCGTGTTCTTTTGTTCTACATCTGTGTCAGATTTCCACAAACATCGATCCATCCAAACTTTTGCATTTATAATATTAATTAGTTTTTGGCCGCGACTCCAACCGCTCGGTATTAAAAAAATAAGTAACCTATGTGTTCTTCCAGACTATCCTCAACATCTATACCAAATTTCATTAAAATCCGTTCAGGCTAAAACTCTAACAAAAATCCATCCATCCATCTCAACTTTCGCATTTTTAATATTAGTATTAATATTAAAGAATGATATAAATCTAGTTATATTTGTAATTACTACTACTTGGTTAATATATTTTGAAATCATTCGATTAGCTAACTATCGTTAATAAATCGCATGTCCCTAAAGACAAGTTATAAAACTGCCTACAAAAGCTCTAATTTCGACACAATTGCAGTATTACGCCGCGCGGTTTATGGATGAAAATTCAGTTCCGCGATCATTAAGAAAACTATCTTACGCTCAAGAAATTACTGATACTAAGTGAGAAAATATCATTTTTAGAGCGTTGGTGACTCAGGGGTTTGAGCACTTGACCTATATATACTCCACAAGTCCCGTACCGCCATGTATTAATGTGAATTTCGATTTTTCGGATTTCATCTGTACATAACTTATCCGACGTTCTTACGCTGAAGGAGAAAACATCTTAATACAACCTGCACATATCAGGGTATAAATTTAAAGATATGTGTGAAGTCAACCAACCCGCAGTGGGCCAGCGTAGATGCCTTGTTACCCTTTACTTAGGGTAGACTCCGAGACCCGCATTGGGGGCATATAGTGGGCTGTTGATGATGATGAAATGTCGTTAACATGTTTATTTTTACATCTAACTGTTTAAATTCACAATTAAAAGACAGTTAACCAGATAGATTATAAATTGTCGAAATCCAAAATTTGTCGGTGACATAAGATTGATATGCTTTAAATTCCGGCTCAACGGAAGTTGACCAGTGACGTCGCGTACCCACCGGGTTCGAACCTACAACAATTAAGCTCAGGATGCGGTATAAGTTTATAGCGTGGGAACGTTGCTGGCATGCCGTGCTTTAAATCCGCGATCCTGGCTAAAGCCTGTTTCATCGAGGATGTTTTGTTGTGTCCTGAGTTGTGGGAATCTCGAAAACTTTGTATTTCTATGCATTTTTTGTTGGTTAAAATTGGTAGTATGGGATTTAAAGGTAACATACCTGGTGTAGAAATTAAATTTAAAATCAAAGCTTTGTACAGTGCAAAAAAAAGTTAATTAAAGCAAAGATTGAATATTGAACATTAAATTTTCTTAATCAAAGTACAATGAACAGAGACAGAAACTCCTTTTTGATGTCGATTAAAAAAGCTTTTAACTTTATAGGCAATAAGAGACTGTATAACTATAAACCTAGAGTTCAATTTTAGTTTAACATTTCCATTTGTAGACAAGGAGTAAAGACATAGCGACATCAATCAAGAGATTGTGTTGCGGTTTCCTTGTCAGTGAAGCCCCTTGAGTGAGTCTTAGCTTTAAAACCACTAAGCGACAAAGATACATTGTAGACGTAACATTTATTTACTTACGAGACACTAATGGTTTAAAAATATAAAAATTGAAATCATAGCGAACTACAACCGAGAGGGATAAGAGGTTACAGGTAGGGTAACATTAACATCGAAATTATGTCAAGTATTTTAATTGAAAACATCGATCTAGCATCGGGCAGTTTATTAATTAAGTAGAAATTTAGTTTTCCTAATGTTCTTAAAGTGAGTGATTTAATTATTAAGATCAGTTAGCGTTAAAAAGGTTAAGCTACGATCCTCGAAAAGACAATTGGCACTTATCAGCGATGTATTTAAAATACACGGTAGAGAAATGCGGTGTGCGAAGCTTACTTGCGTAACAGCGATCTATTGTGCAATTTTACAAGTTCAAGCGGAAGCATTAAAATTCCTTTTACGTTCACACAAAAGAATAAGTTTTGAGAAGTCGGCTGATGGTTTGCGCATGAGAATCGCGAATACAATGCCGGCCGGTGTACCCGCTCTACGTCAAACGCTTGCCGATTCAGCCGCGCGCCTCTTTGTCAAGTGATACGCCTCACAATTCACTTCTTTGATTGTTCGTAGATAGGAATTTCTACACACGTCAACAATGCACACTATATGCCTTCCGAGAAATTCTAGGCAATTTTTATTTCTATGAAAATAGTTTTATGTACATAAACAGGCCCAGTTCTAGCTACAAACGTCTTGGGCGATAATTCCACGGGGGAAGGGGGATTAAGAGTTTTACCTGTGGCGCCCAGGACGGTCGCCCAAGTGCGCCCTACCCTAATAGCACTGTACATGAGTCTGTATAGACCGAGATTTAGTAGACACAAGGATCAATACCAGAGGCGGCGCAATAGGTGGCGCATCAAATACACTTACAGATCTTTGATTTCATAAGTTACATTTGCGTAGCCCTTTCTAAAGATTTGTATATCTATGTTTTAAATAAATTTACAACATGTAGATCAGATGAAAATAACCTAGACGATACACAGCCAACTTCATTATACAACGCAATTGAGTATTAAACACACAACAGTCGATTTACTATGTGCTGTTAATCAAAGTATTTACTTTAATTCCGGTGATAAAACCAAATTGAACCTTACCACTTAGGACATAGAGTTGTAGTTTTGTTATTATTATAACAGTATATTAATTCTACATGTGTTTTAAGAGATAAACATTAAAGTGCAGGTGTCGGCCCGCATGCACCTTGCGTCGTGAATTACTTACTAATGTTTTGAATTAAATAACAGACTGCGTCCGACATTGTAGGACAAGCTGTCTCGACTTCGTACAAGTCATGTATGCAGTATGAAATCTGGATAAGCCACAAAGCGACTAGTGTAGCAGAAAATTAAGGCATCGTCGTCAAGATTACAGTTAAAACCATTGCAAATACAGATTGCAAAAGTCATACTTTTAATTAAAACAACTTGTAGATATTTTCGTATTTTTCACATGTATTGAGAGATAAAGAGTTATCTAGAGATTTCTAATCTGTCGCTAAATAAGTCAGCAATCGTTTTTTATTCAACATATTCTTTGGTTACCGATCACAAAAAAATATCTTGTCACAACAGTTCTATCTTGCATACCCAGCTGATTGAATACGTTAAAG